ATTCGAATTATCTAAATTCGGATTAATCCTGTAGTGTAGACATACCCCCAGAATGTCTGTCTGACTTTTGTCTGTGGCTTCACTACTCTTTTATATTCTTAACTATGCTCCTGTCATTGTTTCTGATCTATAATCAGTCTCACTCCACCTGCCTCCTTTCTTCCCTTTTTGAAATGATATATCCTGCACATGGCCAATCCTTGGTTTTAGCTCTTGTGCATTTCATTAGATGCTCTGGTAGGAAGGTCATGCTGTCAGGTTTGGAAGTCCTTCTCTGGGGAAGGAAGGCATGTGGTGCTCAAGACTAGAGGCCCTGGTTTGGTAGGGAAGAAGGTGAAAGATGTTCCTTACCTCAACTGTGAGGGAGAAAGCTTGATCACTTGAAATAACCAAAACTTGACAGAATCCTATAAAATGTATTGTAAGGAGCAGTTCTATACATAGATTTGAAGGTCAGAAGGGACCATTGTGATAATCTATTCTCACCTCCTGTATTATACAGACCACAGAACCTCCCCAAAATAATTCCTAGAACATATCTTTTAGTAAAACATTTCAACTTGATTTAAAAATGGTCAGTGATGGACCCTCCACCACAACCCGTGGTAAATTGTTCCAATGGTTAATTACCCTGACTGTCAAAAATTTATGCCTTATTTCCAGTCTGAATTTGTCTACTTTCAACTTCCAGTCACTGGATCATGTTATATCTTTTTCTGCCAGATTGAAGAGCCCACTATTAAATATTTTGTTCCCCCTGAAGGGGCTTACAGACTGTAATCAAGTCACCCCTTATCCTTCTCTTTGTTAGACTCAGAGCTCAGTCAATTTAGCTTACCCCACTATAGGGCATGTTTTCTAATCCTTTCATCATTCTCGTGACACACTAGCATAATAAATCATACAATAAATACAATTAAATTGTATTAAAATCAATTCCACAAGAACTCAGCCAGCCTAGCTACTGCCTTCATCATTTATGAAGCATACCTTCTCCAGAGATACTATCAAGCAGAACTGATATTATTTGGCAGATGATTTTATCTTTGTATATGGCATTGCTGCGACTGATACTGCAATACTGTATCCAGTTCTGGTATCCACATTTGAAAAAGGATATGTAAAAATTTGAGAGGGAGCAGAGAAGAGCCAAAAAATTACTTGCAGTGTGAGAGTTAGGAAGCTCGATCTGTTTAGTTTATAAAAAGGCAACTTGATTACAGTGTACAAGTACCTTCACTGGGAGAAAATACTAGGAATTAAGAGGTTCCTTAATCTAGCAGAGAAAGACCTAACTTCCAGCCATTGGCTCTTGTTAAGCCAGACAAATCCAAATTAGAAATGAGGCACACACATTTAATAGTGAGAGTGATTAACCATTGGAAGAAACTCCCAAAGGAAGTGGTGTATTCTCCATCTCGTGAAGTCCAAATCAATTCTAGATACCTTTCTGAAAGATATACTTTAGTCAAACACAAGGTTTGGGACTCAATACAGGAGTAACTTGATGAGATTCTATGGCCTATGTTATACAGGCAGTCAGACTAGATCAGGGGTAGGCAACCTATGGCACGCGTGCCGAAGGCAGCACGCGAGCTGATTTTCAGTGGCACTCGCTGCCTGGGTCCTGGCCACTGGTCCGGGGGGCTCTGCATTTTAATTTAATTTTAAATGAAGCTTCTTAAACAGTTTAAAAACCTTATTTACTTCACATACAACAATAGTTTAGTTATATATTATAGACTTATAGAAAGAGACCTTCTAAAAACGTTAAAATGTATTACTGGCATGCAAAACCTTAAATTAGAGTGAATAAAATGAAGACTCGGCACACCACTTCTGAAAGGTTGCTGACCCCTGGACTAGATAGTGTAATGATTCCTTCTGGCCTTACAAATCTATGAACCTGTAAAACTAATTATAGATGTAAATAGTGACCCCCTATATTAAAGTTGCTTAATTCTTCCTTTGATAACCCCTTATTTGCAGTTGCTTATATCTTTGCTAAATTTAAACTATTTGGGTTGCGGTTTTCCATGCTTGGGCTCTGCCTCAGGTTGGATTTTTTTTTTTTTTAAATTTTTTAGTACAAATGATGCAGCCATTTTTAAGACTAAGATGGTGGGGGGGAATAGGAAGATTTTTTTTTTTCCCCAGCATAAGCCACTTTCTCTGACCAGTTTTTGGTGGTGCTAATGTTACAGAATTTGGAAGATGTATAATGAATGAGTCAGAGGACTGTTGGAAGAGAAAGGATGGTCTTGTAGTTAAGGAAGGCAGTTGATTGTGCCTCATGAAAACTGAATTCTGCCCTGGTTCTGCCTCAGACTTCCTATGTGATGGTGGGCAAGTCATTTAAACCCAAACTTTCACTACCACTGCTATTCTGGGTGGTCAGTTTGAAACACCTATGGCCTAATTTTCATAAGTGCAGCACACTTTTTTAGAATGCAGTTAAAGGCAATGGGTACTGCAATGGCTCAGCACCTCTGAAAAATCAGGCCCTAGTTGTCTTCAGTAAGGCATCCAGTCATTGAGGAACCCAAAATTAGTGGTTACCTCTGAAAATGTTGGCCTTAACCTCGGTATACCTCAGTTCAATATCAGTAAAACAGGAATAATAGTATCACTCACTTCATAGGGATGTTGTGCAGATAAATTCACTGATGTTTCTGAGGTACTCATACTATAATGAGGAGCACTATAGAAAAGGAAATTAGTAGTTCTGTCTTCATTGCAGAGTTTGGGTTGTGAGCAGTAAATAAAGAATGGGGCCATATATTGAATAATCAGGACAAACGAGACTAATGCAAACCCTTAACAGTGACATCAGTAGTGTTATGGCAAATTAACTTCACAAATTCATGGAAAGTATGACAGTGAGCCATGCTGATGTGTTTATATAGTTGATAACTCTTTCCATTAGAGTGTGAGTTTAATGAAGTTGGAGTGTGACTTGCTTTTGGGTAGCTTGTGGAACTGAAAGCCTTGTGGAGCATTGTACTATATTATCCACAGTGTTGTAGGCAGTATGAAGATGGAAAGGAATGCACAAGTCATTCCATTTAACCTTAAATGCATGGAAATAAGTTTTGGGTGGATGGGGTGTGTCCTGCTTCAACTTTAACTGTCACTAAACATAGTTTTTGTGTGCTAATAATGATGGTAATGCTTAACATTTATATATGTTTCACCATTATTATCACACTTCTATGATCAGAATAGTTCTTTGCTTTAAGTACTAAATGTGTGGATTAATGTGGATATTCAGGTTTTGCAGTTATATTGGTAATGCTTTTTGGTACTAAAGTGTGGGGAGGAGTAACCTGAGAGCCAAGGGGGTGGGTTTGTCGCTTTAGTGGCAGCTCATACTACAGAGCAAACTAGGCTTATTATTTATTCTCTAAGAAAAGTCTGTATTTTAGTAGAGGCACAATGAAGGGAATAACCTCCTGGTCTTTATTTTGGAGTGTAATCTTACGTATAACAGGTTATTACTCCCACCACTGGATTTGTAAGTGAAGTCACTTGACTCAGACAAGTGGGTCTTATTTCCCTGCAGGAATTTGGAGAACATCCGAATATCATCAAGCTGCTTAATGTCATCCGAGCTCAGAATGACAGGGATATTTACCTGGTTTTCGAATCTATGGGTGAGACCCACCACTGCTTCAGCTATTTACATTCTTTTTCTCTAAAGAGTGAATTTCATTCACTGCCTTGAAAGTAGCAAAATAGAAAGATTCATGTAATGAGAAAAATGTGAATGTTGGTGTAGGTAGATGGAAGAGTGAACCAGTGAATGTGGTGAAATTAGTGGGGAAGCAATTGCATAGGAATTGATTTGGAAGTGGGGCAATGGGAGGCAGATTGGGAGGGATGAAGTGATCTAGAAAGGAAGTGAATGGGTGTCTAGGTGCAATTTTGGGGTAATGAGGAGATAGTGGGACAGTAAAACAATTTAACAAGAGAAATGAATGGGTGACTATAGATCAAAGGAGGAAACGTTGAATGGGTGGATGTAATGTAGGATGTGAGTGGAACAATACGTTCCACTGTAATTTTTCAGTTACTGTCTAGTCTTTGCTTTCAGTAAAGTATTTTTCCCTGCCCTAAATGAAGTTCAGGAAATAGGGCTAGAGCAGATACAACTTTTTCAACTGCTGTCTTGCTGAGCTTCTGTTTTTAAAAATGAGCTAGAGAGCTTGCGTCTGATGAAGTGTGCATTCACCCACGAAAGCTTATGCTCCAATACTTCTGTTAGTCTTAAAGGTGCCACAGGACCCTCTTTTGCTTTTTACAGATTCAGACTAACACAGCTACCCCTCTGTTACTAGAGAGCTTAGAGTTCGGAGAATAGACTTGACGCCCTAGCTTTGGGTTCCTTTCACTCCCAAACAGTAATTCTCTAATGTTCTATGTTACAGAGACAGATTTACATGCTGTGATCAAGAAAGGGAATTTGCTGAAAGATATCCACAAGTGTTACATCCTCTACCAACTTCTGAAGGCCACCAAATTTATCCACTCAGGGAATGTCATTCACCGGGACCAGAAGGTACATTTGCACTCACTAGTCCTTACCTAAATGGAAAGATTTGTCCTCCGTTCAAGACTGGAGTGAAATGATATTGGGGGGGGAGGGCGTGAAGGGAGTGAAGAGAAAAGATTCTATGGTCATTATCACATGACCTCTAGTAGGTCATGTATACCTTGTGTGTCAGTTTCCTCCTAAAAGCACTCAGTCCCTGGCAGGGGGAAGTGCAGCCTGATATGGGTTTTTTATTTCCTCCCTCTCTGCCCTATACAGAGAATAAAGACATTTTTATAAATATGTTTGTGTTCAACTACAGCCCTCAAATATCCTGCTGGATGCAGACTGCTTTGTTAAGCTTTGCGATTTTGGACTGGCTCGCTCCCTGTGTCAGATCCATGAGGACCAAGGCAGCCCTGCACTGACAGAGTATGTGGCAACACGCTGGTACCGAGCCCCTGAGATCCTGCTTTCCTCTCATAGGTAATTGAAAGAATGGGAAACAATCTGCCCAATGTCTCTGAGATGGGCTATTTTGAGATGGTTTGGGAACCCAATTTTGGTTTTATTATACACCCTTGAAACACTGTCAAGAAAACTTAACAGTTGAGGTAAAAATCTTATAGTCCACACTTACCTCAAACACCAACACATGCAATCTCCTGTCCCCAGTTTTCTTCACACATACTGTACAACCATACACACCTGAACTCCTCTCTCTACACTGGTCTCTTGCACACCAGACAGCCCTGCATTCACCTGCTACTCAGCCCCCACCATTCGCTTGACTTTCACCCAGTTCTTCCTCACATATACAAATTAATCTTTTCTCTTCCTACCTTTACAAAATTTTGGGAAATGCCTCAGCCCTTCTTTTCAAGTCTGGCCTTAAGTGTTCCTCAATGGCAAGCTTTTCTCCTTATCTCCTGGCTACTCCATTTGAAAAACTGCTTCCCTAGTCCCTGTGGAGGGGCTCTGGGGGGCTTTGCTCTGTCAGTTCTCTTGGTCAAGGAGAAGCCACTGGAGCTGATAAGACTTTTTTTTTTTTTTAATCCCACCCAGGATGTCATCTGTTCCCTTCACTAGGCCTAGGATTGCTGGAGCTGAGTGAAAGCTTACTTTCACCAGTAGACACTGGCTGTATGGCAGGAGACCTTTGAGCCTATGCTCAGCCAATTTTAAGTGAGGAGGAAACAAACCTAGCCCAAAGAGGGGGAGCCTAGAGGAGCTGCTGATCTTCACGCCCATTCATGCGCCATAACAATTTAACTAGGGCTGTTTATAGTTACTCTTCCACTTGCTTTGCTGCTGAAGGAAGGCAGAGTAATTGGAGTTCCTGTTGCATGAGGTGATGCTTTTGCACACACAGTCGAACATTATAGCAACCTTTCTTTGCAAACGCATGTCTAATACGCTGCTCAATTTAAGTATCACACCGCATGATAGTGTACAAAAACCTAGATAGATGAGATTTCACTCTTCAGGCTCTCAATTAGCTATTTTTGCTTCCAGGGTTTCTCCTTTCCACTAAGGTTCAGTGTGTTAGATTTTCTCACAATGTGTATTAGCTGCATTTGGTCCATATTCATAGATTCTAGGACTGGAAGGAACCTCGAGAGGTCATCGAGTCCAGTCCCCTGCCCTCATGGCAGGACCAAATACTGTCTAGACCATCCCTGACAGATATTTATCTAACCTACTCTTAGATATCTCCAGAGATGGAGATTCCACGACCTTCCTAGGCAATTTTATTCCAGTGTTTAACCACCCTGACAGGAACTTTTTCCTAATGTCCAACCTAAACCTCCCTTGCTGCAGTTTAAGCCCATTGCTTCTTGTTCTATCCATAGAGGCTAAGGTGAACAAGTTTTCTCCCTCCTCCTTATGACACCCTTTTAGATACCTGAAAACTGCTATCATGTCTTCTCTTTTCCAAACTAAACAAACCCAATTCTTTCAGCCTTCCT